CACTCTTTCTATTTCTGAGAAACCTCCATTGCTACTGCATTAAAAAGTTTGACCTTTGATAGTTTCATATTTCCTGTGGAAGGTGACAGCTAGAGCTATTCTAGCTCTTGTTGTTGTTGTTTGTTTGCTTTTTTGACTTTTGTAATATTATAACTTAGTGCTGTTAAGGCATAAGATACCATCCGAAATTTAACCTCGTATTGCTTCAAGACCTCGAAGCCAGTGAAAGGAGCTATCCTAGGGCTGAAGATGATATTTCCTGTAATTTTTAAAGTTGTTTATTGCTTATGCAGTACAGGGCTGAAGTCTTCTGCATGATAATGAGCTGAAACACTGCAATGTTGGTTCTTCCTTGGTTTCTTTTTGAGTTCATTGCTGCATCATATCTTGATTTGGCTCTAACATCTTGTGGCCAAATTTGCTACATTAACTGCCATAATATATCCTTTATCTACACTAAGTAAAATGAAAATTACAGCCACTGATTTTTAAATAACAAAATGTTACAGGTTTGATAATACCTATTTAAGATTTTGTAGAGATAATATGAATAATTTGTGTTACAAGCAGGAATTTTATGGGAGAAGTTACTGAGGATGACGTGTAAGGGCTGGACAGCCCTTATGTATTATATTCACTCAAGAAGTGTTTCCAAATCACCCTAATGTAGTTCTGTGTTATGACTACATTTAGACTTCAGCATCTACATTATACTTCAGAATTGCCTTTGGATGAGATCCACTTCAGTTTTCCTGGAAGAATGTATGTGAAGCCATCAATCATGTATTTTTAGCACATTTATGACTTTGTAACCCAAAAACACTCAGATAACTTGATCTGGTAATTCATTCATGCCAACCTAATTTACAAAGGCCTTTTCTGAACTCCAGGAGCTGAATGGCTTCCACATTGCTTGTTTTTTATTGATTTTTATGGTGCTTATAATGCTAAGTACCTTTATGGACTAGGGCTCACTAGCATTTCAGTAATTCTCACTATGTGCTAGGTCTATGTTAGTGGTGAAAATATTCTTTTCTTGTCCTGGAGAGCTGTACTGAAGTTTGTGTTTTGCTAGAATCAGTAGGAGAGAACAAGCACCAAAAGTCTCTTGCACTCAAAAGTGATTTGTTTAAGCTTAGCACAGGAAAAGGGTACCAGTAATTGATCTAAGGGTTAGTCTTTTTTTTCTGAGAAAGAATACATTTGCTAAACAAATTGGAAGTTTAAATATGGTCACAAAATTAAGTCAGAGCAAAAGACACTTCACTCCTCCCAAAAATGAGATGATGACAACATTTTGGTTCTGCATTTTCAAAATGATCTTTTTTCATTTTGAAAACTGCAAAACATTTCACTTTTAAATTTTCTGAACAAAAGTATTTCACTTTATATTTCAAAAACATTTTCTTTTAAGAATGATGTGCATATTAAAAAGGACTTTAAAAGGGTTTAAATTGCTTGAAAATAAAATAAAACATTTCTTTAAGCTAAGTGAAGTGTGTGTGGTTGACTAAAATGAAAGTTTCCAGCTGATTTGCTCAAGCAAAACAAAATCTTAAAAACCCATATTTCGTTTTGACCTGTATCCCCTTTTTTAATTTGATTTTTCATTTGGTCAGTTGGTCAAATGGAATAACCTCTCATTCTACTGGCCATGCTTCTAGGTAACTCAAACATCTTAGCTTCGTATTTGGCGTTATTCAAGCACGTCTTACTGTCTCGCTCATTTTATGAAGGGAGAAGAATAATTTTCTTATTGCAGGAGTCCAGCCTTGCCATCAGATCCAGATCTTCCAGCTACAAGTGAAAAGGTAATTAGCAGCTGTCTGTCTTTGATCTGAAATGGTGAATGGCCTGGACTTTGGATCCAGTTGCCAGAGATGAAGCTGATTTTGATTCACAGATCCAAGTCCAAACAATGCAAGAAACTCTCCCATTCCTCTGGGGACAAGGGAGATGCAGGACAATACAGAAACATAAATAAATAACCAAACGCTGAAAAATCTAGGAGACCTCATTACCCAGCAATGGATGCTGGAAAGGGAGGGGGAAGGAGCCGGGGCTTGCCTCCAGCAGTCCTGCTGCTTCTGTGGATATGCAGCTCTGAAGCTTTACAAACACACACAGAGGCCTGTTTTTTTCCCTTCTGCCATCTTACTTTTCCAACAAAAGTAACAAACAGAGGGGAACTGAGTGGAGATTCACTTTCGATTTTGGACTCGTTCCAATCAGTGGCTCTATTTGGGTTGTGTCAGGAAGAATTGCTCCCCTCAACTCCCTCCCTCTGACCTGAAAAAAAAGTCTTACCTGATACATAGAGTTTAATTTTAGATTTCTGTGTTTTGCTGAAGGGAGCCCCAGTCTGTTTATAGATGCAAGTATATACAGCTTCATCCTCTAA